TTGTAGAGTGTTTCCTGCAGGGACTCACGCACCTAGAGGACTGTTGTGGAGTGTTTCCTGTAGGGACTCACGCACCTAGAGGACTGTTGTGGAGTGTTTCCTGTAGGGACTCACGCACCTAGAGGACTGTTGTGGAGTGTTTCCTGTAGGGACTCACGCACCTAGAGGACTATTGTAGAGTGTTTCCTGCAGGGACTCACGCACCTAGAGGACTGTTGTGGAGTGTTTCCTGTAGGGACTCACGCACCTAGAGGACTGTTGTGGAGTGTTTCCTGTAGGGACTCACGCACCTAGAGGACTGTTGTGGAGTGTTTCCTGTAGGGACTCACGCACCTAGAGGACTATTGTGGAGTGTTTCCTGCAGGGACTCAGGCTGTTGTGGAGTGTTTCCTGTAAGGACAATCTGTCTTCAGGGAAGAAATCCGCTCACGGGAATGCACTGAGAACGACTACATAATTAGTACTATTATCTAATCTCTATCCATGGTTAGATAGGTTAAGGTTAGGTTAGGGTTTTTGGTTTCATTATGTTTGTGTACGTTAATATGGTGTATTATTGATGATAATGTGAAATATGGAAATCGAAAACTATTTGAGCGTACCCGAAAATTTCGTTTACAGAAAACCAATTTCATCAAAGAAGACGTTTTCATACATTTTATATATTTTAAACCATCGATTTAAAATACAATAAAGATATAACTTGGGAATAATCTCTGTTCGGGACAAAGGTTCACTTACCAGTTTCATGTAGACTATTACTGGAACTTGTAATAATGGTCCAAGATGGACCATTATTAATGGTCCACACGACTTGATCATGTTCCAGGATGGACCGAAATGTTATCGTTTCTCCATTTTCTGATGTGTAGTTTGGTCAGCATTGGAACCATAATATGGTTTTAGATCATCACAAATATCTAGATAACTATCGAGGTGGTTTGAGAGAGGAGTAGTTTATCACGGTAATGGATGGGCTCTGAGGACGGGCTCAGGGACACACACACACACACACACACACACACACACACACACACACACACACACACACACACACACACACACACACACACACACACACACACAACACACAAGGGGGACACAGGTGGAAACTGAGTGCCCGAATGAGCCACAGAGATATTAGAAAGAACTTTTTTAGTGTCAGAGTGGTTGACAAATGGAATGCATTAGGAAGTGATGTGGTGGAGGCTGACTCCATACACAGTTTCAAGTGTAGATATGATAGAGCCCAATAGGCTCAGGAACCTGTACACCTGTTGATTGACGGTTGAGAGGCGGGACCAAAGAGCCAGAGCTCAACCCCCGCAAGCACAATTAGGTGATTAGGTGAGTACACACACACACACACACCTGGTAGGGGGCCTGGTAGCCTGTTGGATAGCGCGCAGGACTCGTAATTCTGTGGCGCGGGTTCGATTCCCTCACCAGGCAGAAACAAATGGGCAAAGTTTCTTTCGCCCTGAATGCCCCTATTACCTAGCAGTAAATAGGTACCTGGGAGTTAGTCAGCTGTCATGAGCAGCTTCCTGGGGTGTGTGTGGTGTGGAGCATACACCCTAATGGCCTCGATGAGGACATGAAGCCTGCGGCTTGTCAAAGGTCTCCCCCATTTGTCCTGATGACTTTTTTCATATTGGATTTTTAAATTCAGCAGTGTTTTAGTATTTACGGCTTCGGCGGGTAGGCGGTTCCATGGGTTTATAATACTGTGGATGAAGAAGAATCGGTTCTCAGTCCCACACTGTGGCTTGTTGAGCTTGTACCCGTTGATCTTTATATCTCTTTATATATCTCTTATATATATATATATATATATATATATATATATATATATATATATATATATATATATATATATATATATATATATATATATATATTTATATAAAGAAATATATCTCTTTATTTGTGTTGCATTTGGATCTGGAAATTGTTCAGTATTTTACAAATTTCGATGAGATCCGATCTGTCGTGTTTGGGGCCAGATTCACGAAGCAGTTACGCAAGCACTTACGAACCTGGGGCCAGATTCACGAAGCAGTTACGCAAGTACTTACGAACCTGGGGCCAAATTCACGAAGCAGTTACGCAAATACTTACGAACCTGGGGCCAAATTCACGAAGCAGTTACGCAAGTACTACGAACCTGGGGCCAAATTCACGAAGCAGTTACGCAAATACTTACGAACCTGGGGCCAAATTCACGAAGCAGTTACGCAAATACTTACGAACCAGGGGCCAAATTCACGAAGCAGTTACGCAAGTACTTACGAACGTGTACATCTTTCCTCAATCGTTGACGCCTTTGGTTATATTTATTAAACAGTTCACAAGCATGAAAACTTGCCAATCAACTGTTGTTATTGTTATAAACAGCCTCCTGGTGCTTCGGAGCTCATTAACTGTTTAATAATTGTAAACAAAACCGCCAAAGATTGAGAAAAGATGGACAGGTTCGTAAGTGCCTAACATGTATGAATACACTCTGGCTTCCTGTCCCCCCGGCACAAGGATGAAAATACGTTTTCTGTAATTTCGTAAATAAGAAAACGCACTTGTTAATGGACTGACTAAAGAAAAATCAGTGTCGTTGATAAATAATTTATTGGGGACATGTAGCCTTCGTATAAACATCCGGCCTACATAAATATCCATATAGGCCCTACCTTTGCCGCTTGTGAATGAAGGATTTACCTGATAAACAAATATAAACATTTAAATAATTCAACATCGATGTAATTCAACAATTTTTTTAACAACATAAGTTGTTTTTTAACAACTTAAGGATCCAGAAGTCCTTGAATTCACTGTGTGACGAAACCTTTCACCTCAGAAGGGATATAGGTTATTGTTTTAGATTCAGCTATTTACAACAAAATTCCAAAGTAGCACGGGCTATGGTGAGCCCGTAATGGACTTACCTGGCACAGGTTCGGTGCTGTAACTGTCCAACTGTCCGGATATAGGTTTTAATAGTCCATAATAAACTTGACCTCCCCGGCAATTACCATCAAAGAAAGCACTTACGAGAATCACTGTTTCCTTTGCAATTCAATCTTTTTTCAGTTGAATTTGTATTTGCGTATATAAATTCTGCAATTATTGGTTAAGCTATAACAACAAATTGCTAAATGTTAATGGCTTTTTGCAAAGGATGCGCCTGGTAAAGTTACCAGAAATATTTCTTTGTGGGAGTGCATGCACTTTCGGCCCGTCTCTCAACTGTCAATCAATCAACTGTTACTAACTACTAATTGTAGTGTGTAATTAGTGTATAGAGTGTGTATAGACTTAGTTAATTAGTGTAACTACTAATTGCATTGTATGTACTAGCTCTATCTATAAATTCATCAATATTTGTATTACTCCTTATATGTATATACTTTACCTAAATAAACATTTGAATTTGAATTTTTAATATTTTTTTTGTTCTCACACACACACACCTCCAGGAAGCAGTCCGTAACAGCTGTCTAAATCCCAGGTACCTATTTACTGCTAGGTAACAAGGGGCATTAGGGTGAGAGAAACTCTGCCCATTCAAGTTTGTTTATTGAGACAAGATAGAAATACATCTCAAAGGGATAGAGTAGCTTAGGCTATTTCTACTTCCCTCTGCCCATTTGGCTCTGCCTGCGCCGGGAATTCGACTCAGGAATCGAACCCAGGCCACAGGATTACGAGTCCCGCGCGCTGTCTACTCAGACCCCTGAGTGCATTGCACCACTCACACTGCACCAAACGTTTTGAGACAGTTGCGTGTGTTCCTTGCCCTTGGCTGGGTGTAGCTGAGTGCATGCACACTATACACCTCGAGTGTCAGGTCTTGTACTCTAGCGAGCCTCTGGTAACGACGTTGCGAGTACTCATTCACGCTGAGTTAATTGTGTTCGCGAGTGAACTTGAATATAGTGGTGTAATCCAACCGCTTAAGGGAAGGTTGTCCCATCCGCCCGGTAAGTGCTAACTGATGCCTCTGTTCACCTAGCAATAAATAGGTACCCGAGAGTTAAGCAACTGTTTTGATTGTTGGCGTCTGACAGGATAAATCGCTTGTTGTTGTTGTTGTTATAGATTTAGCTACTCAGAACGAAGTGTCCATGTAGCACGGGCTATGGTGAGCCCGTAATTAGAAAAATCGTCAAGCCATCACGATTATATAGCACTGGGAAGGGGTCAGGATAAGGATTTGGGATGGGACGGGGGAGGGAAGGAATGGTGCCCAACCACTTGTGGACGGTCGGGGGATTGAACGCCGACCTGCATGACCGTCGCTCTACCGTCCAGCCCAAGTGATTGGGCACTCATCCTATTAGTGGAAATTTTTACATAACTATATCTAACCTACACATCTAATAATTATAATGTCTGCTAGTTAAAAAAAAACTGAATTACAATATGTATTTACAATTAATTATTATTATACCTTGTTGGTAGGTATTTTGCTAATACATAAAATATATTAAATATGGGATTATTACAGGATCATTGGCAAGCTGTTATTTATTATTTGTGGAGTTACATCCTAGAGAGAGTCAGTACTTCCCCCTTGACCTTGGTGGGACCTCGATACAAGCCTAAAGTATATATGTACACGGGCTTCCTGTCCCCGACAAAAAACTAATTATTCGTGAATGCTCTTTCAGTATTTATAATTCGTCATACAGCATAAATTTGGTACTCTTATAATCACGTACCATGTGGATGGCATCATCAGGCTACTGGTGCACGATGTTTCTCACAGCTGTTGCTATAGATGAATTAAATTCCTAAAACTCGCTTTATGTATCCACACAGATGTTCAGAGTAAATATATACATTCGGGATTATAATTATAACAGTACAAAATTTGTAGAGAATGGCGACATTTGGGATACGCGTTTCCGGAATGTTGTTATCTGTGACCTTCAGGAGACGTCGCTCGGTAGACTATAAATGTTCATATTTTTACGCACATTCCCAGTATTGAATGTTTTTTTTTAGATATATATAGAATGTCTTTGAAAGGTGTTAAACTTAAAGACACTATACGCGATCAATTTTCGTCATCAAATCTCCAGTGTTTAGTTTTCTGAACATGTTCAATATAGGATTTATAGCACCACAAACCTAGCTCCATTGTAGGCTGTGGAGGTGGAGTTACTGAGGCATGCAGAGAGACACAGAAGCACTCTCATGGCCATTCTCTGAATTATGTACACTATATACCTTCATTATTTTATTTTACCAAACTCTATAAGTCTCCTGATGTGTATAATTTCACCAATTACTGCTACTTAAGGTTTCCAATAGAAACAGTCAGTAAGATACCAAGTTACATGGGAGTGTGTACTACGCTCTCAGAGAGATAAGAGAACACAAAGCCACGTTTAGAGATTATGATAACACTAGGCAGGCGCAGTTGTCTAGAAACACTAGTTGAGCAGCAAAACCGGTTGAAGAGGTCTCTGTTTTTTGCTAGAGTAAGGGATTATACAGTGGGGGTCGATATTCAAGTTATTGTTGACTCTGGAACGGGGAGTACCATTGAGCCCTCCAGGGATCGAACGACGGTAGTACAATGTAATGTTAAAGTATGCCATTATAACTGTGGTACGTGCATGTTGTATTATACAAATATTGTATTTTATGTATAAGAACGCGCGGTCAAGAGATGCAGATACATGTATTAGACGGGTCCCTAACTGGGCAGTATCATCTAAGTGAACTTGTGATCATGAGAACCAACTGCATGTAGCCTATTTTGTTATGATATTTTGACATGTATTATAAATGTGAGTTCGGTATTATTGCCATTAGTACTTCACTAAAAGTATCACTCATTATATTTTGAAAAAACAGTGTTGGTCTAGAGTGGTCAGATGTGGGAGTGTGGTATTACGTGATGAGGAAGGTTGGCTGCTGTGTTTAGCAACTTCTTTCCTAGACAGTTCTCTTCTTCCCAGTTTGCAAGTTGTTTCAGTAGTGTCGACGGGAGACTGAGACGAGCAGGTTGTGTGTGGTCTAGTTAAGTGCTTGTGTTTTGCTTGGAGTCAGAATTGTGGCACATTACTGCACATGATATGTAAATCTTGTTTAAGCTCATTAAAGAGTGTGCTTTGTCAAAAGTAACTTTATTGAGATCAGTGAGTAACATTGTGATATTCTTCGTATGTTTTAATTATCAGTGTTTGGTGATTGTGTCATGGAACTTATTTGTTTTATTTGTGCCTTTCCACAGATTATAGTTGTTTTTTAAGTAATGTTTATTTACTTAATCTCCCTCAGTTAATGTAATTGTGATCATTGCTGTCTTATATGTGTTTTCAATTTGCTGTATGGTGCCTATTAATCTTCGTTTAAATTACCAATCAAGCTGTCAATGCAATCAATCAGAGCTTTAATATACCTTCTAATCTCTCTCATCTCATTTTTTTCTTTCTTGCAATGATCCTGTTATCATTTTATTAATTCCGCTAGAATTTACCTACTTAAAATTATCTTGTTAGATTAAAGACCTGTCCGAAAAGCTGCGCGTACTAGTGGCTTTACAAGATTGTAAATACTATGCTATGTATTCTCACAAACCCAATGTACCTTCTTGTATATAAATAAATGATTGTGGGAACAGGCCAATAAGGAGTCTTGGAGACAGCCACAAGAAACAAAAGCATCAACAAGTGGGAGTGGTAACAAATCAAATAAAATGTTTATTCAGGTAAAACTACATACATACATAGATGAGTTACAAACATAATGTTGGTTTTCTAGATAGAGCTTAGTACATACTTTGCCCGCTAATACGCGCAGCGTTTCGTGCAACAAATGCCAAGCTACTCAACAAGTCAAGAGAGTACTGTCCAAAGAGTTCCTAAGAAGGTCTGTTGATTGATTGATGAAGATTAAGCCACCCAAAAGGTGGCACGGGCATGAATAACCCGTAAGTGGTGGCCCTTTTGAGCCATTACCAGTATCAAGAGCTGATACTGGAGATCTGTGGAGGTGCGACTGCACCCTGCGTGACGGGAGATGTCTCCCCAGAAGGTCTGTGTCGTGGTGATGGTCTTGTAGGAGAGGACACTTGTATTTGACCGTTTTCTTGACGTTGGGAAACCGTAAGAGGACGGGCTGGAGGTTCAGCTGTATAAACAGGTTTTAGCAACGGGAGCCTCAGTGCGGGTGACTAGGCTGCAACAGCCTTCACCGTTACCACAAAATACCTAACACGATAAGAGGCTACCGTGACAGAAGCCTAAAAATAAATGTTGAACCACTTGATTAAAAACAATTTGCATGGAGGTTTCTCTGAATTCTCAAATTGAAATTGAAATTGAAATAAGTTTATTGAGGTAAAATACACACAAAGGGATGAGGTACCTCAAGCTATTCTCACCCCGTTCAGTACAACGTGTTAATACATACATAGACACACATCACAAACAATAAACATATTACCAAACATTCTGAGAGATAAACATATACATTTCCTCCTTCACAAGTAGTATGTTAAAATTCTCAAAGACTTTATTACATGGTTGATCTAGCTAATCTGAAAACATATACGGAAATTGGTCGACATAATCTTTATTTGTACGTAATCCAATCCCAATACAAACCTGTAAGTTTCGAATTAAGCATAGTTTCACTTTGCTTTATAATCATAAATTGCTCGTCTTGTGTGTGTACTCTTGAACTGACATAGTGAATGATATCTTAGAACTATTGAATTTTGTGATATGGTGCTATATAGATAATTTTTATTATTATTATTTTTATTTTCTACCACAGACGTGGCCACACATTTACAATGCCAACTAGCATATATACATTTTCTTCTGTCCTCCATGGACAGGGTGAAAGATTTGTCAAACATATAGTTCAGAGATTTATTGAACAACCAGTCTCCGTGGTGTAGTGGTAAGACACTCGCCTGGTGTTCCGTGAGCGCTTTGTCATGGGTTCGTATCCTGGCCAGGGAGGATTTACTGGGCGCAAATCCTTAACTGTAGCCTCTGTTTAACTCAACAGTAAAATGCGTACTTGGATGAAAAAACGATTCTTCGCGGCAGGGGATCGTATTCCAGGGACCTGCCCGAAACGCTACGCGTACTAGTGGCTCTACAAGAATGTAACAACTCTTGTATATATCTAAAAAAAAAATACATTAATGTGAATATGTATGTGTATAAAGTATAAGGCTGATCAGAATTGCATTTCACCATTATATATAGATAAATGTAAGATAAAGATTTAATAACAAGAAGTGCCTCATATGGGCCAATTGGTCTGCGGTTCCCCTCATACTAATGTAGTCTTCTGGGCATGGCGCCATCTTTTGCTAATCACTTCTCATAATTATTAAATTGTGTGACTTGCAGAGGATGGAGGACGCGTCCACATGCATGGTGTGTCTGCTGGTGTATGAGATGAAAGGGAGGGAGCCGCTGGTGCTGCTGTGTGGCCACGCCATGTGTAGAGTCTGTGTTAACAACATCATCAAGTCTGGATCCCACGCATGTCCCAAGTGTAAGAAGCAGCACACGCCTCAGGCCCTGGAGAACCTCTCTGTTAGTTACGATATTATGGCTGTAGCCGAGGAGTACGCCTTGATCAAGGTAAACACTACACTACTTAATGTAGATTTACTGCACTGTACATCTTAACCACTTACAATGTGCAGTGGGTTGACCAGGCCACACACTAGAAAGTGAAGGGATGACGACGTTTCGGTCCGTCCTGTACCATACTCAAGTCGATTGTCAATTTGCCCGAAACGCTTTGCGTAATAGTGGCTTTAGGTATGTACTAGCCCTATCTATAAATCCATCATTCTTTGTAAAATCTCTTGTATGTATGTACCTTACCTAAATAAACATTTATTTATTTATTAATTGACTCGACTTGAGAATGGTCCAGGACGGACCGAAACGTCGTCGTCCCTTCACCTTCTAGTGTGTGGTCTGGTCAACATACTTTAGCCACGTTATTGTGACTCCTCGCCTGCTTAACACACTACATCTCTCTCTCTCTCTGCAGAATAACTCGTGTTCTACACACCAGCAGCAGCTGCAGTTCTGGTGCACGCTGTGTCAGCTGGCTCTGTGTGGCCGCTGTATCCTCTCTGGTCACCTGGACAAAGGACACGAAGTAATGATTGCAGATGAGTTCATGCAAGAAAAAAAGAAGAAAGTTGAAAGTCACGCCAATAGGCTTCGTAAAATCCACCATGGTCTTAAACGTAGAGCAGCTAATAAGTTCATAAATACCATCCGTAGCATCATTGAGCAATGTGCATTCTGTGAAGCCCTCAATGAATTCAATAATAATATAGAAAAAACATTAATTGAAGCCCAAAATTCGATCAGTATCAAAGCCATTGCTTCATCCGAATGCATAATGTCAGTACTTGAGGCGGATTTTACGAACTTTTATACTGAACAAAAAGCTTCATTGTTGGGGCCCAGCACTTCAAGACTCGGTCAAGACACTTTCAACGTATCTGGTGAGGAAGATACAGAAGAGAGAGTTGGTGGTCATGAAGACATTCACGCTTCAAACGTTGGCCAAGAGGCTGCAACTTCAGTAAGTGAAACGGAAGCTAAAACTCCAAGAAGCCCTTGCAAATCCTCAGCTTCAACAAGTCAGGAAGGAGTGATAGCTTCATCAGGCCAAGAAATGTATACAGCTCCTGCTGCTGACCAGACAGGGACTACAGCTTCCTCAGGCCAAGAAGGAACGGCTGAGCCAGCACATCGAACTGATGATGTGAGTGAACTTGAACAGGAGGAGGAGACAGCAGATGATAACCTTGTGTGGCCACTAACTTGTTGTGTTAGTATGGGCAAGGATCTTGAAGGAAGTCTGGTCAATGAGGAGGGAAGGCTCCTCTTGATAACCTCAACCAACAAGCAGACGGAATCCCTCGTTACGATTGGGGTAAGTTTACTTTCGACGAGATCATTGAGAAAATATCTTAGAGGGAGTGGGGGGGGGGCCGAACCTAAGCTATTCAACAAGTCTCGGTTCATTTGTCAAAGGTATGTGTATGGAATACTTTCACCATTTTCTCAACATTATATTCCTTATATTTAAGCAATGAAGAAAAGTTGGAGGAATAAAATTAAATTAGAACAGCAGCGTAACAATTTAAAAAATCATGAATGGAAATGAGTTACGATCCTCGTATTCTCACTCTCTTTGGACGTTCGTTAAAGCCGCGTTATTGTTCTTAATTTCGCCCTACTCGGAAAGCTAACTGCATGAGAAAGACATGAATTGTCAAGCTTATAGGGAATACGTGACAATGGCTGGGTTAATAAAAATAACCCAACGCACGTATATGAAAAAATTGGAAAGTGACGACGTTTCGGTCCTTCATGAACCCTTATCATGACTTGAGAGATCACAGATCGAATCGGCTCAAGGCGTCATGAGGATCCATGACGAACTGAAACTTGTCTTAAACCTTGCACATCATTGTTCTAAACCTGTGCTGCTGTATGACGTTGTTAGCGTATCATGTGTAATCAATATAATTGCTATTAAAATCAAGTGTATATAAAACATTTAAATAAGAACTAGAGTCTAGAGTGTGATTAGCGAACCCGAGGACAGCTTCGTGTGTGTGTGTATGTAGGTCAAACACCGGAAGAAAATGTAGGTGATGCACATTCTACCATTATCGGGCATTCACACTACCATGCAAATAATTATTTGTGACTGTCATATATTGCCATTTTCCATGATAAATGCATTATTCACTGTTGCTTTGCAAGCCATAAATTGCCGGTTTTATAATTATAAATTGTAATTGTGGTTAACTAGTATTTTGTATGTACAATTTTATTGACTTTCAGAATTTGTCTTGTGTGTTTCGTTATTTGTACAAGGATAGCAATTATGTTTGTGTAATGTGTGAATACTTCATGTGAATTTTGTACCAAAATATCACATGGAAGTCTCAGCAGCTCGTTTACATTAATATATTTATATATTTTTAATGTTGCAGCTTGATGTGATATGGCGGCTGCTGGACCCGAAAAACACCGAGGTGTTCCTGGAGTTGGGAATCTCTGACCATTCCCTGGGTCGCATCAACATCAGTTTACGTTCTGGTATGCGACTAGCTAAGCAGTTCGTGGCATTGTGCTTAGGCTACCAGGGGCCCAGCCTGGTCGGTTCTCGTATGTATCGTGTCGAAAAGCAAGATGAAAAGGGAGAGATGCTGGTGGGGGGCCAGTATATGAACCCCAACATAAACAAATTCGTTACCAAAGGCATTGTGGAGGGGCTGGAGTGGGGCGGTGATCATGGCACAGAGAAAATAGAGGGGCTGGTAATGAGCTGTAGTGGAGGACATGAGAGAACTGGTTCGCTCTTCAGCATCTGTACGAGGAGTGATCCTGGTGTCAAAGTGGATAACCCAGCATTTGGGATGGTTGTGTCTGGCATGGAGGTGGTGCATGCAGTCATCTGGCACAACCCTATTACTGATGTTACCATCACCAGGTGTGGCCTTGTGGTGCAGTGAGATCGCCAGTACCTGATGTAGCTTTGCTGTGTTATTGCTCTCTAAATCTTTACACTGTCACAAACATAGACGATTGGAGATTTTAGTTCTTTTCTGGTGTTTACCATGTGCTGTGTTAATCAAATTTTCCCCAGCCATGATGTTCATACCTCTGATGAGGCTTCGTGCCTGAAGAGTTCAGACACGAATATCTGGCTTTGGAGTCACGTACATCTGGCTTTATTCCATGAGAATTAAAACAGCTTGCAATAGTGTATAGTTTGTACTAGACGAGGCTTCACCCTGCTAGCCATGATGGTTGCTAGCAGTGTGTGTGTGTAGGGAGGGAAGAAGAGCTTTTAACTAGCGAGAATAGTCACACAAAATATATAACAAGATAATTTCGATGTTTTTTATTTGGAGTTTGGGTGGTACGTTTTTGGTATCGTAATAATTGCAAAGTGAAATGTGGAAGAAATATGTTGTCAAAAGCATATTGTGTGTATGTCATTCTGCTTTTTCTTAAATTAAAACAAAAATAATTATAAATAGCATAGATAGTATAAGGCCCTTGGTTAAATGTAACAAAAACTTCCTTCCCTGGGTACATACTTGTGAAGGGAAAGTTTATATAGTTGCAGACGATGTCACATTAACGTGGCTCAAAAGCTGATTCCCAACCCACCATTATCGAGTCAACTTTGAGGACGGACCGAAACGTCATTTCTTCATTTTCAGATGTGTGGTTTGGGAATTACGTTGTATAGTTGTTCTGGTTACCTCAGGTGGCAGCAGAGTGGCTGTTGGTGCTTCTTCTCTGACCTGGGGCTGGAGTCTGACTTGTTTCTCGAAAATATTTTGTAATTTTCATCCTTTTGAATTATGAATGAATGATAATGTGTGTAGTAAGCAGCGAGGCTTCGGAAAGCCTATTCCATCCCGACCTACTTTGCTGGACACACTTGAATAGACTGCTGACCCTTGCTCCTGTCCAGACCTACTCTGTTGGACACCGCCAAGTTGACCATTGTTGTTGTTTTAGATTCAGCTACTAGGAACAAAAGTTCCAAGTAGCACGGGCTGTGGTGGTAAGTTCGGGTAAGTCCCGTAGTGGACTTACCCGGCACAGTAGCGGGGCTGGATGAAGTTGACCGCTAATCCTATGACTTTAAGCTTTGACTGGACACTAGCTGACCCGTCTGATGTTTATCTTCCCTCCACTACCCCCCAGTAACACGGGAGACATCTCCCGTCACGCAGGGTGCAGTCGCACCTCCACAGATCTCCAGTATCAGCTCTTGATATTGGTAATGGCTCAAAAGGGCCATCACTTACGGGCTATTCATGCCCGTGCCATCTTTTGGGTGACTTAATCTTCTTCAATCAATCCCTCAGTAACAGTAACGTCTCGTATGCTGCAAAGTGCGACCAGTTCTCCATTACCTACGTCTTCCACTCTCCTCGGACAACCGTATGACGCTCGACTGCATCCCATAGTGTTTTGAGTGAAGTCATTAAATATACAATGCGATCACAATAACGTAATGTATCCATGAGAAATCTTTGGAGAAGGACGCCGGAGGTTCGATCCCACCGTCCTGCTCCATAGATTTCCCAAAGTCATATTAAACTATGTAGTGGTGTTGAACTTATGTGTGTGTGAGAGAGTGAAAGGCCACCAAAAGTTCTTGCTGAAAAACCGGTAAGTGTATTTTCAATACTTTTCCCCAGTTATATAATACATTCAAATCACTTCCCAATATACAGTACATACAATCTGACTTCTATTATGCACATACATCCTTCAGTGAAATGGTATATAACCCGTTAACACCATCAGTCCATCCTCCAGAACTTGTCTTCCATTATTTTAAGACGGACGAGCAGTTAAGTATTGATGCCCAGTCATCTCTGGACGTGGAGGATTGACTGGTCACTAACTGTTCGCCCCTGTTCACTCAGCAGTATGGGCAGGTTCGAATCCTCGTCACGACCCTTGTGGATTTGTTCATTTGTTGCATCACGTTAGTGTGATTTCTGTGTGTAGTATAGGCAGGTCGTGTTCAAGGAAAACTATGGTCGGCATTAGGTCGGCCGAGCGGACAGCACGCTGGACTTGTGATCCTGTGGTCCTGGGTCCGATCCCAGGCGCCGGCGAGAAACATTGGGCAGAGTTTCTTTCACTCTATGCCCCTGTTACCTAGCAGTAAAATAGGTACCTGGGTGTTAGTCAGCTGTCACGGGCTGCTTCCTGGGGGTGGAGGCCTGGTCGAGGACCGGGCCGCGGGGACACTAAAAAAAGCCCCGAAATCATCTCAAGATATGGTAGGCTAAGGCTTACCATGAGCTATGGGAAGGGAAAAGTTCTCAGCCTGCTAACAGGAATCAGAACTTTTCTGCTCCTTGTTCTTACCTGTGTAAAAACTAAAAATACAAGCTATTAATGTCGCTCCTTGTATCTGGAATAAATAATATGAATAAAATTGTATGAATAAATAAAATGTATGTTATTATTATAGGTGTCATTTACACTGTATCAGAATTAGGAGAAAAATATATTTTGTACACTAAAGCAGCTCGCCTCGGCCAGCCCCAAGAGCTTACTGAGTCTTTATCTGACTTTGGTATTAGGCTTAAGCTAGGCCAATCAACAGCGGAATTAATGTGTTGTCGGGGACAAGAAGCCTGAGTATATACTGTATATGTTCTAGACTTGTATCGAGGTGCCTCATGGTCTGCCCTCCCAGGATGCAACCTCATAACAGTTGTCTAACTCCAGGGGTACCCATTTGCTGCTAGGTGAACAGGGGCATTAGGTGAAATCTAGTGTGTGATATCATGACCCAGTTCTTGGTCACAGAGTTTGCACCTGGAGTGCTCAGGATTGGGGGAGGTTTTTCACCACTTACCACAGGTAACAGTAGCATATATACAGTTGTTGTTGTTATAGATTCAGCTACTCGGAACAAGTTCCAAGTAGCACGGGCTATGGTGAGCCCGTAGTGGACTTAATGGCACAGGAGCGGTGCTGTGTGTGTCCGGATATATACACATAAATCTCACTTTATAATAAACTCTACAGACTCGAACATTTGCTGAAAGGAAACGTACTCAACCATTTCTGTCCCCGCCCGAGAATCGAACCCGGGATCCCTGATTGTGAGTCGAGAAGGGAGTCAACTAACATGCGGTACTACGAGACTCAACCTAATATATATTTAAGATATTTTCTATATTGAATGAAGCATGTTAAAGTTGATGAATCTATCTTTGGTGTCGGTCGCTGGATGGAGTTGATTAAAATTAAGTCTACTTAACAATTTTTTTGCAAGAAGGTACAATGGGATGGTGAGATTACATAAGATTGGTATTTTTACATTCATACAAAGCCACTAACACGTATAGCGTTTCGGGCACGTAATCTAACATATCAGGGAAGATGAAAAGGCACATTGCAGCAAGGTGAAAGGGGGGGTAGAAATAGCCTAAGCTACTCTATCCCTTTAAGATGTATTTCTTGCTTATCTCAATAAACATACTTGAACTTGCAGCAAGGTTTTATGTCAAGAAATAACTACAATATAAGTTGACAGAGGTGATTACACTGGTGAGGATATGTCTTAAGAACTAATATTGTGGAAGTGGGTAGTACAAGATATAGTGTGAGTTTAGAGCACAAGTTAGGAAACTATGAGGCTAAACGTAGGTATTTTTTGGCTTTATTTTAGGTTGGACAATTTTTTAATTCATCAGAGAGCGAGTTCTAAAGACTGGGCCCTTATATTTGCATAAATATAGTACTGGATTAGTTCAGGATTTATTTATATTAGCAATAATGTAGCTATATAGCCCTCGACAGTGCTCTATATTTACTGGCTTAGCAAAACGAATTCTTAAGGGTTCTTTTCCTAAACCCATTATGTGCCTCAGTAGCTGCATGTGATCCAATGCATGAAGCAGTTGTGCTATAAAAACTTTGTTGATATATACATTAACTGATTAACTATATAGCTTAACAAGATTGTAACTTGCTTAGCTAATCACCTAGCTGAGCCTATCATATATTTGCACCTCTAATCATTTTCCCTGCCGCCCACGGAATGGGCATGGGGTGCATAAGAATTAACTAAACGGAAAAACGTCATAACCCTCCATAGTAGTATATAGGCCTAGCTGAAGGCCAGGCCTATAAGTCCAAACAGATAGGACTTAGATAGGACCTTAGAATAGGCCCTAACAGATCACAATACAAGTATTGGTCTGGAATGCTGCCGGAGGCAAGACCATATATGTCTACTTCATTAGTTGTTTTGTTTAAATATATTTTATCCTTCTACCAGAGTCTTGGATCAAAAGCTGAATATGGAGCCTTTCAATTAAGCAAGCAAATTGATGAGTTTCACCTAATAATATAGGATAGAAACTAGAATTTCTGGTTGTCAGGTTGATAATGCGGGTGACAAGGGCCCCAATGATGAGGTGTGGGGTTGGGCCCCTGTGGGCCCGCTGGGAACAGTGTTGCCAGCTTGGGCTACAAGTAGCGAATTGGGCTACTTTTGAGAGCCCCGCGCTCCCATATTTTTAATTTTGCTACTTTTTGGGCTAATTTAAAAGCAAGATGTGCTAATTTGGGCTATTGAATGTACGATTGCGAGTTACATGAAAGTAACTAAGCTATAAATAATTGTAATTAATAATAACTGCAAATAGTAGTTAATACTAAATAATATTATATAATAAATTAGTCTCAATTCAATGCAGAGTTTTCTTCCAAGCACAGAAACTGTAAATATAAATACAAGATAATAGATCGATAAATAAATAGACAACTTTCAAATATTGCACCAAGTAATGGCGAGAGGAAAAAACTAGACAGTATACATTACATTTGAAATATATAATGGATGAATGGAAATAAATTGGTGTATGTTTGTATGTATACCAGACAAAGTCCATTTAATAGCAGAATTTAGCTATTTTGTGTAAAAACTTTTATATCTCATATTATTAATTATAACAGTAATCGAAAAAAGTCATAGTTTGTATATACAAGAGATGAAACAGAGAGCCATGAGCTAGAGCGATGTGCTGAGTCCATAAGGAGGCCGAGCTTCCAGAAATACCTTCCTGTGATTGGCTGTTGCGGGGAATACCAACACTCTTTTATGAATCAAATTTTAACTAATAAATAGGTCCTTGTGCACAACAACAAGGTTGTTGCGAAAAAGAACAACAGTTTCTGTTTTGCACCTGACAGAAATCTCCATCTAACTGAATAATTTACTCGAATAAGAGGGCAGAGCAGAGTATCATTATTTGTGTCAAGGCAACCGCCAATAATGACGTCACAAGTTAGGTAGCCAGCCCATTTTTATATAACACTCGTTACGTCCTGCAGTATTTAATTATCACTATATTAATACTTTTAAATACTTAACATTTCACTTTTAAAGTAGACTAAAGTTGAAGCAGAATGTCATAAGCAAGGATGTTGTGCTAAATAAAGATGATTTATTAAGTAGATGGAGCCTTTAGCCGATTCCTTCCTGTGATTGGCTGTTGTGTGAATGTCAACAAAGAATATCTACCAATGATATGCCATTTCTTATGCACCCCATACCATCTTGGGGCGGAGCTAGGAACCTCCTACCCGAGCACAACAACCCGCCTTATGGGTTGCTGTTTGGCTATTTATAGTGCGTTGGAAAAAAACTAGATGGCGTTAGTGGTATTTTGTGGGGTAATTTGTTATAAGTGTAATTTGATGTCAACAGATGGCGTAAGCTGTACCTTATGGCCACTGTTAACCAGCCAGTTAGGTGTTCTCTTCTGCCGACAGATGGCATCAGCTGTATTATTATTATTTTAATAATATTATTACATTAATAATAATATATTAATATTACTTTAAACACTGATCTATACGTCTGGTAGCTTATAATAAGGTTTTATACCATGCTGGTATTAGGTAACTAGAATTCTGCAATTACTTTTTTTTATCTACTGTTGAGGATATGTAAGACAAATGTAAGGTTTTGAGGCTAAGTAACGAAGATAGTTACAAGATACGAGCCAGATGGTGTTGAGATTGTAAAAGAGATTATGATAAGAACTTAAGCCAAAAAAATCAATGCATAAATGTTCGTAAATATGAGACTGGGATTTATTTCTCGAAAAGTTAGCAATAAAATACACTTCTAGTTCTTTATTTTCAAAATTAAGACCAGAGATTCAGTCTAACGAAGCTGCAAGCTAAAACATAGTTATCCTATAATGTTCATCTGTAGCTTGACCCTAAATACTCGTTTATTAAACGAATTTATTATTAGAGTTCATTAGGAATCAACGTTGTTGAAGGCAGAGTTTCCAACAAATACCGTCCTGTGATTGGCTGTTGCCGGGAATGCCAACGCTTATATGAATAAAATGCAAAATAAGAAATACGTCCTTTTGCTCAATAACCCTGTTGTTGTTGCACAAAAGAATAACAATTTCTGTATTATACAAGACAGAAATTTCCATCTAACTGAATAATGTAGACCAATAAGAGGACGGAGGCATATTGTATCGCCAATATTATTTGTGTGAGGCAACACCCTCTGATGACGTCACAAGCTAGGTAGCCAGCCCATGTTTCTGTAACACTCGTTACGTCCTGCAGTATTTAATTATCACTATATTAATACTTTTAAATACTTAACATTTTACTTTTAAAGTAGATTAAAGTTGAAGCAGAATGTCATAAGCAAGGATGTTGTGCTGAATAAAGATGATTTATTACGTGGCTGGAGCCTTTAGCTGATCCCTTCCTGTGATTGGCTGTTGTGTGAATGTCAACAAAGAATATCTACCCCCATACCATCTGTGGGCGGAGCTTGGAACCTCCTACCCGAGCACAACAACCCGCCTTATGGGTTGCTGTTCGGCTATTTGTAGTGCGTTGGAAAAAAACTAGATGGCGTTAGTGGTATTTTGTAGGGTAATTTGTTATAAGTGTAATTTGATGTCAACAGATGGCGTAAGCTGTACCTTATGGCCACTGTTGACCAGCCAGTTGATAGTGTTCTCTTCTGCCGACAGATGGCATCAGCTGTATCATTATTACTTCCGAATTCCCTTTTAAAAACTGATCTACAAATCCCTTGGCTTATGATAAGGGTTTATACCATTTATGATAAGTATTAGATAACTGGAGTTCCGCAATTACTTTTATTTATCAACTGTTGAGGATATCATCATATAACGTCTGGTTAGGACGAACTGATCTCGATTGATGAAGATTAAGCCACCCAAGAGGTGGCACGGGCATGAATAGCCCGTAAATACTGCTCGTAATATTATTCAGGGGGGGAACTATCAAGTGAAAGCGCCAAGCCATTACGACTATATAGCACTCGGAAGGGATCAGCTCGCTACTTTTAGGCCGTCAGCTCGCTACTTTTAGGCCGTCAGCTCGCTACTTTTAGGCAGTCAGCTCGCTACTTTTAGGCCGTCAGCTCGCTACTTTTAGGCTACCAGCTCGCTACTTTTAGGCCGTCAGCTCGCTACTTTCAGGCCGTCAGCTCGCTACTTTCAGGCCGTCAGCTCGCTACTTTTATGCCGTCAGCTCGCTACTTTTATGCCGTCAGCTCGCTACTTTTAGGCCGTCAGCTCGCTACTTTTAGGCCGTCAGCTCGCTACTTTTAGGCAGTCAGCTCGCTACTTTTAAGCCGTCAGCTCGCTACTTTTAGGCTACCAGCTCGCTACTTTTAGGCCGTCAGCTCGCTACTTTCAGGCCCTCAGCTCGCTACTTTCAGGCCGTCAGCTCGCTACTTTTATGCCATCAGCTCGCTACTTTTATGCCGTCAGCTCGCTACTTTTAGGCCGTCAGCTCGCTACTTTTAGGCCACCAGCTCGCTACTTTTAGGCCGTCAGCTCGCTACTTTTAGGCCACCAGCTCGCTACTTTTAGGCCGTCAGCTCGCTACTTTTAGGCCGTCAGCTCACTACTTTTAGGCCACCAGCTCGCTACTTTTAGGCCGTCAGCTCCCTACTTTTAGGCCACCAGCTCGCTACTTTTAGGCCGTCAGCTCGCTACTTTTAGGCCGTCAGCTCGCTACTTTTAGGCCACCAGCTCGCTACTTTTAGGCCGTCAGCTCGCTACTTTTAGGCCGTCAGCTCGCTACTTTTAGGCCACCAGCTCGCTACTTTTAGGCCGTCAGCTCGCTACTTTTAGGCCATCAGCTCGCTACTTTTATGCCGTCAGCTCGCTACTTTTATGCCGTCAGCTCGCTACTTTTAGGCCGTCAGCTCGCTACTTTTAGGCCACCAGCTCGCTACTTTTAGGCCGTCAGCTCGCTACTTTTAGGCCACTAGCTCGCTACTTTTAGGCCGTCAGCTCGCTACTTTTAGGCCGTCAGCTCACTACTTTTAGGCCACCAGCTCGCTACTTTTAGGCCGTCAGCTCGCTACTTTTAGGCCGTCAGCTCGCTACTTTTAGGCCACCAGCTCGCTACTTTTAGGCCGCCAGCTCGCTACTTTTAGGCCACCAGCTCGCTACTTTTAGGCCGCCAGCTCGCTACTTTTAGGCCGTCAGCTCGCTACTTTTAGGCCGTCAGCTCGCTACTTTTAGGCCGTCAGCTCGATACTTTTAGGCCACCAGCTCGCTACTTTTAGGCCGTCAGCTCGCTACTTTTAGGACACCAGCTCGCTACTTTTAGGCCGTCAGCTCGCTTCTTTCAGGCCGTCAGCTCGCTACTTTTAGGCCACCAGCTCGCTACTTTTAGGCCGCCAGCTCGCTACTTTTAGCAATTTGGATCTGGCAACCTTGACTGTACCGCGTCCAGTAGTGCCACTGACGCTGGACGAGGCGGACGTGTATCGCTCTTCTCAACATGAGTACCACAAATGTAACTTTTTTATATGTAATTATTTCATGTGTAAATTCTAACAATGCTTATTCATATGTGTGTATATATCTGATAATAATATTACCACTTACTGAACATTTGTTAATTTATAGAATGTGAATTTATTTATGTATTTATATATATATACAAGAAGGTACATGCGAGAGTACATAGCATTGATGTGCTTTATATTCTTGTAAAGCCACTTGTACGTCCAGCGTTTCGGGCAGGTCCTTAATCTAATATATTAAGTGGGTAAATAAATAAATAAAACATTTATTTAGTACAAATTTATGAAATGTTAAGAGGTACATTGTAAGAATATTTGAGAGAGAGTAGTTATATTAAAGCACATTGATAGCTTTGATTGATAGCTTGATTGCTTGATTGATAATTTGATAGATTAGTAGGCACAATACATCAATCAAATCAAATCGTGTTGATTCAGGTAAAAGTACATGCATAGATGAGTTACAAACATAATGTTGGATTTCTAGGTATAAATAAAATAAATAAATAAATAAATGTTTATTCAGGTAAGGTACATACATACAAGAGGTTTTACAAAAATTGATAGATTTATAGATAGAGCTAGTACATACAATGCCGAAAGCCACTTTACAGAAAGGGTTTCGGGCAGGAAAAACATTAAAAACAGGTAGAGCTTAGTACATACAGTGCCTAAAGCCACGAATACGCACAGCGTTTCGGGTAACTTTAGTTTAGTTCATTTATTATGCACCCTATACCTATCTTGTGGGCGGTAGTGGAAAGGGTTACAGAGGCACATAATGGGCTCAGGGACTGAACCCCACAATTCATTTAGCTAAGCAAGTTACAATCTTGATGAGCTAGTTATAAAATTCAGTATAAGTCGTCACACCTTTCAGGCAAGGTGTGGTGGAAAAAAATACTTTGACTAAAACTTAATTAATATCAATTGAGATTATAGTACAGTATAAATTGTGTTGAAAAAGGAAAAAAAATAAGGGGGGAACATGGCAGAAATCAGTAATTAAACATCTTCAAGAGGAAACTAGATTGTTTCCTTCAAGGAGTGCTGGATCAGCCGGGCTGTGGTGGGTATGTGGGCCTGCGGGCCGCTCCAAGCAACAGCCTGGTGGACCAAACTCTCACAAGTCAAGCCTGGCCTCGGGCCGGGCTTGGGAAGTAGAAGAACTCCCAGAACCCCATCAACCAGGTAACCAGGTATACAAGTGGGTCAACAAACAGTATTGTTTAAAATAGCAAGACATGGGTTGACACTTAGGGAGTAAGGTAGGTTACATGGAGTTTATTAGGTAATACTTAGTTCTACTCTTAAACAACTGCATGAGAGAGGTACAGCTTTTGATATGATTGGGAAGGTCATTCCACATTCTGGGTCCCTTGATTTATTTAAGGAAGTATGGAAGGAAAAGCAGTATTTGTGCTGCTTTTTCTGCCATGTTCCCCCCTTTTTTATTTTTATTTTTATTTGTTTTCAACACATTTTATACTTTAATCTCAATTAGTATTAAGTTTTAGTCTTTAATGTTTTTCCTGCCCGAAACGCTTTGCATAATAGTGGCTTTAGGCATTGTATGTACTAGCTCTTTCTATAAATCTATCAATTTTTGTAAAACCTCTTGTATGTATGTACTTTACCCGAATAAACATTTATTTATTTATTTATTTGTATTTATTATTTATTTGTAGAGCATTTCTAGTTTGGTTAAGTTGTACTCTTGGAATATCAAATTTGTTTCCAGTGTGGTGCCCATGAGTTCTGTTACAACCTTCTAAGAAGCTTTTAGAGTCAGGATTGGCATTAAAGTTCAGAGTTTTAAATATATAGAGTACACATGAGAGGATGTGCAGTGACTTAATATCTAACATATTCAGAGATTTAAGTAAGGGTACTGAGTGTTGTCTGGGGCCAGAGTTTTTGTTATTTATTTATTAATGTATTTATTTTGTTATATACTTATTTATTTAATTATAAATACTGTATATACAAGAAGCTACATTGGGTTTGTGAGGGTATATAGCATGGTATTTACATTCTTGTAAAGCCACTAATACGCGCAGCGTTTCAGGCAGGTCCTTAATGTAAAAGATAATTTTAAGTAGGTAAATTCTAGCATAATTTATTAATTAAATGTTAACAGGTACATTTGAAGAAAAAAGAGATTATTAGGTATATTAAAGCACATCGATAGCTCTGAGTGATAGCATTGACAGCTTGATTGATAATTTAACAAAGATTAAAAGGCACAATACAGCACATTGATAGCACATATAAGACGACAGCAATGATCACAATGGTAAAGTTGTTTGGCTTAGGTACATATATTGGGGAATTGGGTAGCACTAGATACAGTGCGAGTTTCAAGCACTAGGTAGGAAACTATGAAGATGAAATTAGGTTCTTTTTTATTTTATTTTTGAATGAGGCAAAAGTTTGACAGCTTTCCAATTCATTAGGGAGTGAGTTCCATAGACCAGGTCCCTTTTATTTGCATGGAGTGTTTACACAAAGTTTGACGCTTGGGATATCAAAGATATATTTATTTCTGGTTTGGTGATTATGGGTTCCATTATATCTTTTCAGGAAGAGTTTCAGAACAGGGTTTTGTAAATGTAGATGGCACAGGAGAATGTATAGAGTGAGGTTGTTTAGCTTGTTTAGTGATTCAGACAAGGAAGCTGTGTGTTGTCTGATAGCAGGGTTTTGTTATTGTTCTGATAGCAGATTTTTGCTGGGTGATGATGGACTTCAGGTGGTTTGCAGAGGTTGAACCCAAGCACAGATACTGTAAGATAGGGATAGATAAATGCATAGTATAGTGAGAGGAGAGCAGAGTTACGTACATAATATCTGATTTTAGAGAGTATACCAACCGTTTTTGAGACTTTCTTGGTTATATGTTGTATGTAAGTGCTGAAGTTGTCTCTTGTCTAAGTGTAGGCCACAAAACTTTCCATCATTTTCATTCTATCAATACAAAAACAAATCAACTCTGACTAAAAATCAGGTGAGAACATTAATGTAAGGCTGATCTATTAGCTCCCAATAGCAAAATCTGGTTACAGCATAAGAGTATCTTCCAACATTCCTGAGTTTATGAAGTAATTACAGAGCTCAAAGTATCTTATTCCATTTGGTCTGAAGTCACTTATAACAGGGCTATCACAGATATAGTGTTGGAGAGTATGTCCCAGCTCTTGTTCACATAGTTTACAATTGGGATGTTCACCATTGGGGGGATTCATTACCTGCAGCCACCTGCCATAGATATCGATATCCCAGCCTAATTCTGGCAATTACAATGTCACACTGTCTAGCGGATGTTTTATGTTGCCCGTACATATAATTCTCTGTCCTAAACATATCATAGCTCTTTATACTCGTGCTTTCTGGCCTTTGTGTGTCAGTGACTGCTCTTCCGTCTTCCCTAATTTCCTGAAATATTGTGGCTTTTACAGCAGAGATTGGAATGCCCATATCCAACTCAATATCAGGCTTATCACATGCAGTTTTAGCTGCCTTGTCTGTGTTGTCATGCTGGATAACACCTATGTCAGATAATATCCATACAAGTGAGACTGAAATGCTTGCTCTTTGCATTAATGATGTTGTTTATGATGATTGTTACAACATTCTTAGTATCTGTTTTGCATGTTGGATTTTTAAGGGCCTGAGCAGCTGACTTTGAATCACAGAAAATTACTCCAGTTTGGAGTTTCAGCTCCTCCCTCATGTTGATTCTTGTGCATCTGGGGGCTCCAAGAATTATCCTCATGATTTCATTTTGGATTTTCTCTAAAGCCTTCAACCTATTGCTAGGAAGACTAATAAAGTGCGGGTCATGGTAGTTGACTAGTAACCTGATGAACATCATGTTGAACATTCTGGCATATTTGACATTATTACTGATGTGCTTTCCAGCAAGCGTTTTAAGAGGACTTATTCTTTCTTTAAGCTTAAACTGATTAATGCCATCTTTTATAGTTTTATTACGGATAATCGTCCTGTAGTCGGTGGTGGGAGAGTTGTCACAGATTTCCCAAACTTGGCATTTTATAATGGTCCTTTAATTTAGGTAAAGAATTAGATGAACATTGATGGTTATAAGTGAGGTGTAGATGAAGTGATTATGATCAAGTGCAAGTTTATGTTTTTTGGTTATATAAATTGTTTTACTTTTTAAGTACTGTACAGTACAGTATTTAGTGTTTACCCAAGAGCTTATATTAGTAAGTGTATATACCTGAGGAATGTATATAAATAAGTGTATAGACCCGAGAGTGTACAGTATATAAATAATGGGAAAAACAATAGTTGAACCTTGCATATATACAGTATATAAAAAAAAAAAAATCTGGATAACTTGACGACCTTGTCTGTTATTTCCCGGGGCTGAAGTCAGTGGAGACATGGCGACAGTACCCAGGCAGTACCCAGACAGTACCCTCAGGCTCCCTCCACTCTATATAATGGTGCCTTGCAGCTGCCTTTACTCTTAATCACAGGACAGATGGTTGGGCACGTTTCCTATCTCCTAATGGTTCTGTTTACCTAGTAGTAAATAGATAACTAGGAGTTAGTCAGCTTGTGTGGGGGTTACAGCCTGGTGGGAGGGGTCAGTAGTTTGACCTTTGGGGGGGGGGGCTCACTATAAGTATATTATGTACTGTACTGTATATACATAGGATTCCTGTCCCTGACAAAAATCATTATTACAGTACGTACAGTACTAATACAGTACTGTATAGCATTCCAGCATGCATATCAGCTGACTTTAGTTGACTGGGTTTATTCAATTTAGTTTATTTACTATATTTTTGCTACTGTATACCCATGCATTGAGCAATTCATGCCTCTGTCCTAGCCATGAGGGGGGGGGGGGCATAATAAATGAACTATCTGCCCGAAACGCTGCACGTACTAGTGGCTTTACAAGATTGTAAATACTGTACTATCCAATGTATTCTCACAAACCCAATGTACCTTCTTGTATATATATAAATAAATAAATAAATAAAAACTAAATCATAAGATCCTAGCCATAACCAATCTATGGATTAGCCTAGCTTTGTCTTTGTCCATAAACTGTTTTGTGGTGTGTTTATACATTCTTATATATATTCTTATATAGTCCTGCATTCTTTCTATTCATTCATTCTAATAATTTTATTCATAATTCATTCATAATTTTATTTAATTAAAATTTAAATTTAAAAATATAAATTTATAAATTTTAAAATTTATAATGTTGTGATGCTCCAAGGCATCAGAGTATGCCTTGGAGGAAGATATACTAAACAAGCTGTATAGCTGGGCAAATCAACACATGAATATGTTAAAAACAAGTTTTACTCATTTTTTTTTTACGACAACCACCATGGTTTATATCCACATAAAAGGTCCTGATAGTATAGTAGAGTTTGTTCTTGATTCACAATAAGGAATTCTGGGTTCGTATCTAGAAATGGTTGGGTGCATATCCTGCCTCCTAATGGCCTCTATTCACCTAGCAATAAATTGGCATGCAGGAGTTAGCTTGTTGTGGAGTTGCATCCTTGTCAGTAATTTGACCTTGGGGAGGGGGAGGACGTTGATACACACTTAACGTACGTACATACGTGTGTGTGTGTGTGTATAATATAATGTCGTACCTAGTAGCCAGAATGCACTTCTTGGCCTACTATGCAAGGCTTGATTTGCCTAATAGGCTGAGTGATTTTTTTTCAACAAATTGTTTCCAATTGGTTTATTTGAATTATTATTATTATATTAAGAACATAAATTACTGACTTAGTTATGTTAGTTTAGGTTAGGTTATGCTGGGTTAGGTTAGGTTCGGTCATATATCTACGTTAGTTTTGACTCAAATTTAAAAAAATGAACTCATACATAGTGAAATGGATAGCTTTATCATTTCATAAGAAATAATTTAGAAAAATATATAAATTCAGGAAAACTTGGCTTATTAGGCAAATCGGGCCTTGCATAATTGGCCGAGAAGTGCGCTCTGGCTACTAGGTACGACATATATATATATACATTATTATATATATATTATTAATATATTATATATTAATATATATATTATTAATATATTATATATATTAATATATATATTCACTGGCTACCTGTCCCCCTGACACAATGAACTATTTATTATAATAAACAAAAATTTACATTATGGCAATATCTTCATAGAGTGAAACGGAATTACAGTACAGTACAGTAGTTAAATTTTGGGTGTTAGGACTCGAGAAAGTTGCAAATAGGCTGTGCATAATTACAGGTAGATGTGGGGCAGAAGGATAGGAAGTCTTGTTAAGTGTGGTCTTCCATCTACTGTAAAGGCAGGTCAGAGTTCAACAAGTATTGAGTATATAAAAAAGTTATGTAATTGTTCTTATATTAGGCTATCATAAGGGTAGTAAAAGGTATTATTTTGCCCGAAATTTTGGCCGAAACACTGTGCGTGTTAGTGGCTTTACAAGAATGTAAAACATCAGTGCTCTGTACTCTCATAAACCCAATGTACCTTCTTATATATAAATAAATAAATAAATAAATTAAATAAGGTGCCTAAAATCTGGAAACATCCAGAATTAATTCCGGTGTGCAGTGTGCCAAGTATGCGAGTTGGATGCTGGATTATACTTGAGAATAAAACATAATTAGACATTAGGTTCCATTATTGTACTAAGAGTACTGAAGAAAATATACAGGTACCAGGAATGCTGTTGACATTTATACCATAGGGATTCTCAGTAGTTTTAACTTTAAATTTCTACTTAGACACAGATTAGTCTTTATGCATTTATTATATTTTGAGATGCCAACAAGCAAAATTGTACAAATCTTCAGCACCTTTCCTTCAGAAAATAATATACTCCTACCTTAATTTTCTTACCTACAGCCAGTCCTGTATTCGTACTACCGCAGCTCTTGCGCTTGGCGTGTCAGAATTGGTAAGTATAACTGATATTTTTGCACGTTAGCCAGTGTTGAAAGTTCCTAATATTATTTGGCTTTTAAGTAAAACTAATGAATTAAAAATATCGGTTTAAAATTACAGTAGGAATGAGATCTTCAGCATTGATAATCATGTACAGTAAGAATTTTTATAGGACTATTTTCAATACGTATATCTTATGGAATACAGTCCTGGATATTATTATAAATTCTAGTTGTGCATTAAGTACTGGTTTAAATGTATGTATATTTAAACATTGTATAATTGTTCACATTTAGGCTAAGGCTAGGCCTATACCTTGCTAAAAAATTTATTATATATATATATATATATATATATATATATATATATATATATATATATATATATATATATATATATATATATATATATATATATATATATATTATATATACATACATACCTTGCTTGCTGTGTCAGGCAGAGGTAATGCACTTGCTCATGTAAATCCATAGCAGGTCTGTGTCTGGATTTGTGACATGGATTTAATTATAAACCTCCCTATATGTAATTATAGGACATACCTGGAATTTTGAAACTGTTCTAGGTGTGATTGCTTAGGATATTGGAATTGGGTAAGAAGCAGCTAGTGGTTTGTGGGTGTTGATTGGACATATATTAGTTGTAGCTGGATATTTGGAATTATTAATGAACTAGGCAAAGACATGGGTTACTGGCAGGAATTTTGAGTCCAATTGAAGTCAGATTAATGTTACACAAGCTATGTGACAGTCAGACCACGGAGGAAAATTGAAACAGGAATTTCCTTAAGTACTTTCGTATATTAATACATCTTCAGAAGGAGGCATTTTTAATCACGTGTTTATTTTCGTGATATACACACACGAGCTATGTGTTTAGTGATTTTGAACAAAGGTGGCCCCAGAATCTGTTACTATAGAATGCTAAGGGTGTGCAAATATCTGTCATGGTATGGGTGTCAATGCAGAAAGACTACCACAAGGCAAGGCAGAAGGCAATGCAGCTAGATAGTTGTAGGGTAGTATGCAGGAAAGAAGCTGAACACCCAGAGCAAGATTGTGAAAATTGTCATGAAGGTCGTGGTGGAGATTATTAATAATTTATATTTCATTGTGTCGGGTGACAAGCGGCTCGAGCGCATTCATACACGTTAAGTTTATATTGAGGACCTCCACCCGAAGGTCGAGTTACTGACCCCACCTAGGATGCAACCCCACAAAAAGCTGACTAACCTCTGGGTACCTATTTACTGCTAGGTGAACAGGTGCATTAGGTGATAGGAAATGCATCCAACCATTTCTGTCTTGCCAGGGCTTCAAACCCAGAATTCTCCATTGTGAGTCGAAGGAACCTGATTACTACCGGGATCCTTTAATACAGTACAGTACAGTATTATCAAAGACTAATCTGCTATATTCAATGTGAGGAAAATATTCTTTTCTATATTTTTTCTTCTACAGTTTCTTTCCTGTGCTGTACAGTATATTTATAATATATGCTGTACATTGTTAATTTTTTGTCCTTATGTGCCAAGATGTTCCATCATTTGGAGTCTGGAAACAAAGAATTGGTAATAAATGGACATCTGCTTTGCTTCTTGCTGGGTTCTTGCAGGGCTAGTGTTCAATCCCCAGTGGTCAATGTTTTACACTGTGCCTTGACACTATCCTTGTATCCCTTCAAAGTATTATAGTTGTACTGACTTGGTTCTTTTTCCTGAATTGCTTTGCTCCTTGCAAAAGAAAGATAGGAGAATCATTATTCTCAAGGAGCTGAAAGATGGGGGGTCTAAATTTTTCTATAGCTGATTTTGGTTTTTATGCAGTTTTAATAAAGTTGCCTTAATCCTAGCAGCTACCAAGTGATAGACTAATAGATCACGAGTGAGCATGAAGAACACCACAGTGTCGACCAGTTTCACCCCAATACCATCCAAAAGTCACATGCTTTTTGTCCCTGTCACGGCTACTGAAGATTGTCCGTAGTCAAACTTGGGTAAATTATTTCCAGTACACGCAACAATTATTGCCCATTTGGCTTTGCTAGCAATTTGTCGGCTGCTAGGCTTCATATATTTATTATCCATGTTAGGAAATACAGTATAGTGTTCATCTGTGACAACTAACATAGTTAATGATGAACTAATTTGTTTAATTTAATGTTTTGTTCATTAATAGTTAGTATCTAATGTGATAGTTTTCACAGTTAATTGCATTGGTAATGGTTTTTGGTTTCATTCTGTTTTCAGTACTGTATTTTCCTGTTGGGTAATGAAAAAGCCAAATCTTGTTTGGTGATTGTTGTAGGATAATACTGCAAAACATCTCATTCTTTTCTAAAGGAACCAGGAGGAAACATGTACTGTATCTCGAATAAAGATTTACTAGATTAAAAATGATTGTATGGCTACTGAAAGAAGGGTTAGTTTGATGATGATTTTCAAATGTTGTACCCATGTATGGCTACTGAAAGAAGGGTTAGTTTGATGATTTCAAATGTTACACCCACGTGCACTGGAGCCATTCCCTAGTCTAGTACATACGTTTACATCTGGTTTTACTCTTCCTGATGCATGTCCATTTTGGCCCAATACCTATATGGTATTGTCCGAGGATAAAAACGTTCCGTTTTTTACAACTTGTTACATTTATTCTGTAGTAAATTTTTTTTATCTGCTCTTTGCACTGAAATCATTTAAAAACAATTATGAAATGGAAAAAATATAGTTTAAGTAACTATACTGAGCTATAAATATTTGCAGTTTATAAAATATCTTGAATACAATAAATGAGCATGCTTCCCAAGGAATTTTCTTTATTGAAAAATGCATTTTTCCATCATTAATTTACTTTCAGTTTTCCAGCTTTTTCAGTTTCAAACAAAAGTTCTTGATATTTGTCCTCAACCATTATGGTGCTCACAGTGGTGAGTCTGGAACAGGAACTACTGTAACTAGTCCAGTGGTTACTTCTGTTGCCAGCAATAGACGACAACTAAAGGGTGAGGAGTTACAATAACATAGCTGGAACAGTAATGATAATGGCACAATCGACTTGAGAATGGTCCAGGACGGACCGAAACGTCGTCGTCCCTTCAACTTCTAGTGTGTTGTCTGGTCAACATAGCTGGAACAATGTTGACTAAACCACACACTAGAAAGTGAAGAGACGATGAAGTTTTGGTCCGTCCTGGACCATTTTCAAGTCGATTGTGCCATTATCATTATTGTGCCAAGCCATTATCATTATCACAATTGACTTGATAATGGTCCAGGATGGACTGAAACGTCATCGTCTCTTCACTTTTTAATGCATTGTTTGGGCAACTAAAGGGTCCGCACATCTTTTACTTACCTGAATTTACCCGAGGGCCGCTAATACTAGTGGCCTCGACACGGAAAGGAAGCTTACTCGTGTCCTTTATGAAGGCCAAATGTCTTGATAACAATCTCGTTGTTGAAACTATTGTTATTTGCATTTGCCCAATGTTGCATTGCAGTGACTAATTTTAGTTTTCCTCATTTCAACCATAATTGCATATTGCAGATTGAATGTAATTAGTCGTTGTTGTATTTAGACTAATTTTTATGCAGTATTACATTGCAGTCTTAATTTTATTCTTTCCAGCTCTGGCATACAAAGGAGTAGAGTATGAGTATCGTCCAGTTCATCTTCTCAAAAAAGAACAGGTAAAATAATACTTGCTTCAGATTACTGTAATATGAAAAACCATTAAATTAATATACATTATAGTGGCTGTTGTACTTTCCAGCTAGTGGGCCAAAATTAGAATACAGTATACATAGTTCTACTTAAGGTAAGTAGTGCTTACCTTAGTGCTGATCTAAATCAGATCTGAAATCTGAAAGTAGTGGTTTCAGATTTTTATGTAAAGCTATTTTTATTGAGTTTGGGTTTACACATCGCCAGGCAGCTTATTTTAAGGAACTAGCTCGTCTAGAAATAATTGCTTTCAGTATAGTACTAGTTTTTTATATTTTAGTATTAAGTTTGTGTATCCAGTAATTATTGACACATTTTCATGAAATGCATATACAGTAGTGTAATGTGTATACTGTATTAAATTATCTACCTAATAGGATATATAATCGACATATATTATGGATATATAAAAATCCTCCTCCAACCTCCTGTCTTGCTATAAGGAACTGTAGCATCTAAGGACATGCAGTCTCTTTGAGTTAATTGTAGTCTTACTTTCTTAAAAAAATAAACAAAATAGTCTGCTGAGATCATGTTTGCTCTGTTTATTTATCACTGTACTTTGTAATTTCTGCATAAGATACTTTGGGTTTGTACGAGGCTTTATAAATCAGTAATGTACAATGTTTTAGTACTCAAGAAGTCTGAGCTGTTTTAAGTGAAGGCTTAACTCTTCAGAATACCCAGATAAATGGATATTTACCTGCACTTACCTGAGGGCCACTAATACTAGTGGCCTTGATGATGACAGGAAGGTCGCTGCTTGTCATAGGTCCCCCCATTTGCCCTGATGATCCTTTCCAGCTGAATTTTAAAACCCAGCAGAGTTTTGGCATTCCCGCCAAAGTGTATAGGCAGTTCCACAGGTTTACAATCCTATGGGGGGAAAAGCATCTGTTTTCTGTCCTACATTGTGGTGTGTTAAGCTTGAACCCATTGCACCTCATTCGTGTTACATCTGACCTTTTGAAGAAATTGACTGGATCGATATCCCTCCAAATACCTGGTTACCTGGTTGATGGGGTTCTGAGAGTTCTTCTACTCCCCAAGCCCGGCCCGAGGCCAGACTTGACTTGTGAGAGTTTGGTCCACCAGGCTGTTGCTTGAAGCGGCCTGCAGGCCCACATACCCACCACAGCCCAATTGGTCCGGCACTCCTTGAAGGAAACAATCTAGTTTCCTCTTAAAGATGTCCACGGTTGTTCCTGTAATGGTTCAATATTTTAAAGGTTTCGATGAGATCTGCCTTGTCATGCCCAGTTAGCAATGTTGTTAGCCCATTGGCCTTCAACCATTCCTGATGTGTTGTTAGTCATCTCCTGATATGTGAAATGACTAAGCTCTAGTATTTTGTTGCCCGGTGTTGCACCTTCTTCAGAGCAGCTATGTTTTTCTAAAGACGAGGTCTCCATGCCTGGATGTAATAATCCAGGTAGGGGTGCACCAGACACTTGTAAAATTGAATAACTACAGTGGCACCTCGACTTACGATAATTTCGAGTTACGGTGTAAATTTGATTGAAAAATGCGACTCGACTTACGATAGTGTCGTCGATTAACGATATTTGTTGGTACACGTTTGGGTCGACCGAGCGCGTAGTTCCCGGTCACGCGGGTCAACCTGCCTCAGTTTACTAGAGCTGCCCACTTAGTGACGATCACGCCTATAAGAAATTCCATTTTTGTGGTGCTTTTTTGCTTTTTGAACATAAAACTGATTATTGTATATCACTCCATGGGTCGCAGAAAGTCAGTGGTAAGGTTTAACCTAAGAAAATAGTTGAGTTGAGGCAGTAGAGGATGTCCCTTCCTCATTAAGAAAAATGTGTGAAGTATGGGAAGAATTGCAAAGTTTTGTTGAAAAAACTCACCCAGATAAAGCTGTAGCAGGCCGTTGCATTGACCTTTTAAATGACAATGTGATGTCTTACTACAGACAAGTGTTAAAATGTTGGGAAAAACAAGTGTTTTTAGACAGTCTTAGTAAGACAACCACGCAGTGAACCACAAGCAGGTCCTAGTGGTATGCAGGCAAAACATGCCAGTGTGTGTATCCCAGAAAAGTTATCACTGCATGATGTTATAATGGAAGGTGACTCCCCTTCCAAACAGTAACACCTCTCCTCCCCCCTCATCACCATCTTCCATAAGCCATCAAGAGTCCACCATAAAGGTAAGATAAGCATATTTACTGTATTGAAGTTAGAGAACAAAATTGTATTCAGTATAAAATGTATTTGTAAGTTAATATTTTGGAGGATGGGGGAACGGATTAATTCATTTCCCTTTATTTCTTATGGGAAAAATCGCTTCGACTTACGATCCGTCTCTGGGAACGGATTACCATCGTAAGTCGAGGCCCCACTGTACTTTCTTTTCCTTGAAGGTACGCTTGATTATTTCCAGGGTTTGGTTGGTTTTTTTTTTTTTTACTGCTGCTCCCACGTTTTGTGCAATCTTTAATGAATGATGGATTCTGACTCTAAGGTCCTTTTCTTCATTTATCTGTTGTAAGGTAGTGCTATCAATTTGGTAGTTGTGACGTGGATTGTTATGCCCCACATGCAAGGTCTTTCATTTATCGACATTAAAAAGCATTTACCAGTCATCTGACCATTTGTGAAGTTCATGTAGATCTCTCTGTAAGGTCTCAATATCACCTTCACTTCTTCCCACTTTACCATAAATTTACCATAAATTTGAGTGTCATCTGCAGATTTGATGATGCGGTTTGTAATATTCTCATCTATGTCATTGATTTATATTACAAAGAGGGTTGGCCCCAAAATGGACCCCTGTGGCATCCCACTTAGCACATTTCCCCAGTCAGATTCATTCCCATTTTGCACGACCTTTTGTTTTCTATGTTTTGACCATTGTATTATCCATTTCAGTATTCTTCCATTTATTCCATGTGCCTGTAATTTCCTTGCCAGTCTCTCATGTGGTACCTTGTCAAAAGCTTTAGTAGAGTCCATGTAAGCTACATCTACCGGAAGTCCTTTGTCTGAATAGCCGGTTACCGCTTCCAGAAATGTGAACAGGTTAATAAGGCAGGGTTTATTTTTAACAAGCCTGTGTTGCGTTGATTTTACAAGACTGTTTTCTGCAAGATGATGTATGATTCCTTCCCTTAGGATTCTCTCTATAAGCTTGCAGATGTGTGATGTCAAGCTGATCGGATGATAATTTTCTGCCGAGCTCTTTCTGCCTTTTTTTTTTTTAAATAGGGGGGTAACATTTGCACATTTCTAATCCAGGGGGAACTATCCCTTGGTCCAGGGATTTTCTGAAGAGACGTTTGTGGCAAGCATAGTGCATTTGCCAGTTCCTTTGTGTCTTTGGATTGAAATCCATCCACATCTGTGGCTTTTGATTCTTTTCGTTTGTCAATGCTCTTCTTGATTGTGTCGCGTGTAATGGGTACATCCCTTAATTCATTCTCTTCGCCTCCTTCAAACATGTGTTTGGGTGATGGGATGTTGTTCAATCTTTCTAGTGTGAACACTGATGTAAAGTATTCAGAGTGTTTGCTGCCCTTTTATTATCTAATATAACATGGTTAGTCTGCAAACCATGGCTATTGTCAGGGTCTTTGGGCTGGTACTCACCTAGTTGTACTCACCTAGTTGTGTTTGCGGGGGTTGAGCTCTGGCTCTTTGGTCCCGCCTCTCAACCGTCAATCAACAGGTGTACAGATTCCTGAGCCTATCGGGCTCTATCATATCTACACTTGAAACTGTGTATGGAGTCAGCCTCCACCACATCACTTCCTAATGCATTCCATTTGTCAACCACTCTGACACTAAAAAAGTTCTTTCTAATATCTCTGTGGCTCATTTGGGCACTCAGTTTCCACCTGTGTCCCCTTGTGCGTGTTCCCCTTGTGTTAAATAGCCTGTCTTTATCTACCCTATCAATACAGGTAATAATTTGTGTGCTCTTAAAAATATTCTTCCCCCTTGGCCTTCCTCCTACCACCATAATAGGCAGTGGGAAATGGTTTTGGCTAGGTTGCATATGTCACACTTGCTTATCAATGCTTAATGGAAGAATGTCCCGCTTCCTTTTGTCTAGACTGTATTATCCCCATTTAGTCGTGCTCCTCCTTGTTGAGTGCTTCAATTTTCGGGATGATCATGTCTTGCTTTACTAGTATTCTGGTGGTCATTTATCCCCCAATAGAATCCTTGGTGAATCGGATACCTTAATATCGCTCACCATGTCCTTCTGCTCTCTTATTGGCATCGCAAGTGATATTTAGTGCTTTTTGAATACTATGCTACATAGTTGTCTCGGCTTGGCAGCTTCTTTTGATAATTACTTTACACTAATCGATTTTTACAGTGCAAGATAATAATTTTCAGAGATGGGTGTAGGCTAATATTTGCAAACCCTTTCTTTAGGTGAGTGATGACTATATGAAGCTCAACCCCATGGGCCAGGTTCCAGCACTCGTCATCGGTAGTCGCACATTGACGCAGTCGGTGAGTACATTATTGAATAGTTGTTAGTTACTGTTTGTGTATGGGGGAAGCCATAAGATAACATAGGAGACTTAAAAGGGGGACATTGGTTCTGAAGTGTGGAGGTATTATTTGTTGACCAGACCACACACTAGAAGTGTGGTCATCATGCCACATCGTGCCATCATGACAATCGACTTGAGAAGGGTCCCAGATTGACCGAAACGTCGTCGTCCCTTCACCTTCTAGTGTGTGGTCTGGTCAACATTCTTCAGCCACGTTATTGTGACTCATCGCCTGCATGTGGAGGTATTAGTGGTGCGTTTGTTTCAGCTTGTAAAAGAAATGCTTTATTTGAAGATTTCTTGTGCTATCATACTTTGTCATAGCTAAAATACTTAAATGGATCTTTTATTTTTTTTAGATGAGCATCCTGGAGTACCTAGAAGAAGCCTACCCTCAAAAGCCATTGCTACCCAAGGACTTGTTTTTGAGAGCAAAGGTAATCTTTATTAATGTGTGGGGGGGGGGTGAGGATGGGTGTATTCTTGTTGGTTCCATTAAATGTTTAAGGTCAATGGGTCGTGCTAACAGGCAGTGTTATAATGTACTGTAATAATATTAGAAATGAGAAAAATTGACAAATGGAATTGGAACTGTGTATGGGGGGGAAGGGGGAGAACCTGCACTTCACAACCCATAAGCTTTACATAGCATTGGACCCTACTTATTTTAATTATAATTGCAAGAAATATGTGAATGCTTTAGCGAGTGTATTTACCTGCCCGAAACGCTGCGCGTACTAGTGGCTTTACAAGAATGTAAATACTGTACTATCCAATGTATTCTCACATACCCAATGTACCTTCTTGTATATATATATAAATAAATATAAATAAATAAATAAATAAAATAAACTAAGTCCTTGCCTCGCAATGGTTATTTTTAGAGGCGATGCCTTAGCTTGAAGTTATCACCTGTACATGTTTAAATGATTTGCATGATATTTTAATTACCAATTTTGGTATTAAAACGTTAGTACCGTGTTAATTTTGTAAGTGATGTTTATTGATGAATTTGTATTCGATAAACTATTTGATAAACCGGGGAGCCAGTCGGCCGAGTGAACAGCACGCTGGACTTGTGATCCTGTGGTCCTGGGTTCGATCCCAGGCGCCGGCGAGAAACAATGGGCAGAGTTTCTTTCACCCTATGTCCCTGTTACCTAGCAGTAAAATAGGTACCTGGGTGTTAGTCATTTGTCACGGGCTGCTTCCTGGGGGGTGGAGGCCTGGTTCAGGACCGGGCCGCAGGGACACTAAAAAGCCCCGAAATCATCTCAAGATAATCTCAAGATAATCTCAAGATAAGAAGAAGAAGATATCACCTGTACATGTTTAAATGATTTGCATGAAATTTTATTTACCAATTTTGGTATTAAAAAGTTAGTACTGTGTTAATTTTGTAAGTGATGTATATTGATGAATTTGTATTCGGTAAACTGTCTTTTGTGTAGGTGCGGGAAGTATGCGAGGTGATAGCCTCTGGGATTCAGCCGCTACAAAATCTGTCGGTGCTGCAGAAGGTTGGCGATGAAAAGAAAATGGAATGGGCACAGTTCTACATCAATAAAGGTTTCATTGGTGAGTACCACTTCGGCAGCTTATGTTGAGTCAATATCTCTACTGCCTCATTGCAATGATTTGAGAATTCAAATACTTAATTCTGAGCCTAAAATTTGCATTATTTGTGTGATATTCCAGGCATAATTGAAATCTAAAATATATATATATATATATATACTGAGGGATTGTGACACAAGAGCCAGGGGTAGACTGGCACCAGAGGGGAACAAAAGGAGGGTTCTCCTACAGGTTCCATAAGGAACCTGTACACCAGTACTTGGGCAGATTATCCTCATTTTTGGGCAATGTAGCCGATGGTAAATTTTTTTTCACTTTTTTTTTTTAAATGGCAAAGGAGAGTCCAGGGTTTGATCACTAGTAAGATTGTAAAATTCAAACCACACCCACTCTTAACTTCTACACCAATAGGGTACTATAATAAACCCATGAACTCGCCTACCCACTAAACCATAGATGCCAATGCAGTACTGAACTAAAGTTCAAAATTTGGCTGAAAAAATTCTCGGGAATAATTGAGGGACCTTTGATAAGCTGCCGGCTTCCAGTCCCCATCGAGGCCACTGGAGATGTTGGCCTTCAAGTAAAAGAATGCACCAAGTACATGGCTAAAGAGCTTGGTCCAACAGACATGCTTGGAGCAGTTTGCAGGCCCACGTATCCACTATGCCCCAAGTTAGTTCAGCACTTCTTGCAACCTTGAGGTTGCCTTGAAATGATTTCGGGGCTTAGTGACCCCACAGCCCCAGTCGTCGACTAGGCCTCCTCGTTGCTGGACTGGTCAAGAACAAATTTTGTTCCTAGCATACAAATTGAGGCTATAGTACTTCCTCATTCAGCTTCAATTGAAATGTACCGTGTACTATAATTGTCTTGGTTCCAAGTTTAAGTGGGATGACATTTAGTAATTCAATCCATATATTATGCATCCTACTTAGCTAGTGGTATGTACTATAGCTGGAAAAAGGTTAGTGACAAGCATATAATGGGCTCGGAAATTGAAACCCAAAATTTGTTGTCGAACCTGGCCCCAGGCCAGGTTGATCACTGAGTAGGCCTGGTCGATGACTGGGGTGTGTGGTCGCTAAGCCCCGAAATCACCTCAAGGTAAAAAATCGCCTCAAGGTGAGGCCAGGCTCGGGGGAGTAGAAGAACTCCTGGAACACACTCCAGGTATGTACTGGAATGGTCGATCATTTTTATTTTTGTGTTAACCTATAAATAATCCTATAACTTCCTGCTACCCATGCTTACATTTGAATTGCCTACCATCAGTTCATACTTGGATCATACCTGGAGTGGATTCTGGAAGTTCTACTACACAAGCCAGTCTTGACTTCTGATAACTTATTTTACAAATATTCATACGTTAAACGCTTTGAAACGTTAAACTGCCCGAAACGCTTTGCGTAATAGTGGCTTTAGGCATTGTATGTACTAGCTCCATCTATAAATCGATCAATTTATGTAAAATCTCTTGTATGTATGTACCTTACCTGAATAAACATTTTATTTTATTTTTTATTTAAATGCAATTTTCTGAAATATGAAATAGGAATCTCTCTTATCGGTTGCAATTAAAGCCGATAGAGTTAACATTCCATGCTATTGGCGATTTTTATGTATGATTTAATGTTCATCTGCACATGTACCCTGCAGCCTTGGAACAGCTACTAGCAGGCTGTGCAGGAAAGTTTTCAGTTGGAGATGAAGTGACCCTGGCTGACTGCTGCCTTGTTCCCCAGGTCTATAATGCATTCAGGTAAGGCTTGTGGCAGGAAGTAGCCCTAAATAATAGTTTTGCTATATTACAATATAAATTAGTACAATGTTTATACAGTGTAGATTTTTAATATAGAAATATTAATGTGTGTTGACAATAACTTTGTTATGTATTGTTATAAATATTGGATTATCTGGTAATAATTTAATACAATGTTTGGGAAGATTCAGTGGCTCCTTGCATGTATACTAGATGGTTCCTTAAATTGGTAAAGGTATCCATACACGTCATAAAGGTTTTGACCTTGATTGTATGTGAAACCTGTGACAGATGTTAAAGAGGTTATTCCTCCATGGGCCCCCACAGATAATCAATTTATTTTTGGCATGTACAGAACTGTACGGCTAAAGCTCTTTCACATTCACAATTCTCTTACCGTAAATTTAAAATTATTTTATGTATCTTTTATTTCTTCTTTCTCATTGTGCTAGCTAAGAGGAATCCAGATTCTTTTTTTTTTCTTTAGTGCAAGTGATCTTTGATTCACAACTTATTCAGTCTATTTGATTATTTCCTATATTCATAGTATAGGAAGTGGCTATTAAATGCTTATGGCCACTCACTTTTTATTGAAGTGTTTGAGAGATGTTTTGAAAGGAAATGTGTCCAACCATTTTTGTCCACCCTTTTTTCCCCTGAGAATCACACCCAGGATTGCCAACTTGGTCGCAAGTGAAGTGAAGCTTGTCAGTGGGGAGTAATAAATTTAACGAACCAGATTTTTTTTTTTTATACAGATTGCAACTTGACAGGTGAAAGAAAGTTATATTTGGAGGAAGTGGAGGAAGGGAGCACGAGTCTAGATTAAGATAGATTAGTTATTAATTTTATGTATTATAGGTTCTCATATTTGTATTAAGTGTTCAGGCTGCAATATATTATTTTATGTTGTATTGCATGATGGGAAAGTTATTATACTTTAAAGCATGATTTATTTTTTAAATGACAAAACTTGCATTTAGTTTCATGCTGAAATAATTCTGATTTATAATTTACAAACTTTAATTTTCAGGTTTAGGGTAGATAAAACACCATTCCCCACAATCATGCGGGTCAATGATGCTCTCAAGGACTTGGAGCCATTTAAAGCAGCCGATCCCTCCAATCAGCTCGACTGTCCGGAAGAAATGCTATAACCTTCGACGAAGCAATTTTGAAATATGGTAATTAGCACCTTTAGTTAGCCTGTTTTGATATTACTGTGCCATACTTGAATTACAAATAGTTAGATATGGTAATGAGGTTTGCATTGAAGGTGAACATTTGAGTGTGACATCAATGCAAGTTGCTACTTGGTTGTCTTATAGACAACGGATGAAATAAAGATAAAATGGAATTTCAATTTGGTTCTGGACAATGTTAGTACATTCATTAAATATTGGTTAGGTTATCTTGAGGTTATCTTGAGATGATTTCGGGGCTTTTTAGTGTCCCCGTGGCCCGGTCCTCGACCAGGCCTCCACCCTCAGGAAGCATCCCGTGACAGCTGACTAACACCCAGGTACCTATTTTACTGCTAGGTAACAGGGGCATAGGGTGAAAGAAACTCTGCCCATTGTTTCTTGCCGGCGCCTGGGATCGAACCCAGAACCACAGGATCACAAGTCCAGCGTGCTGTCCGCTTGGCCGACCGGCTCCCGGCTTGGTGTATTGAACATTTTCCAACACTTCAAACCTTTCATAGGAATGACTATTTAACAGGAAATATCACAAGATTTTTAACAAATGTTTGATTATTTGTAATTCTAATGTAATATAGCATTTTAGTCTGTAATTTAAAAGTAGTGTATTGGTATACTTTAGCAGCTTAGCCAGAATTGTAAAGATTGGAAGGTTTCCATATGTCACAACACACACATTAGGGTGCATAACTGGTTTAAGAAGGTGTCGGGTTAAAACTTTGCGCGCATTCCAAGAACGACCATTAAGTCATTGTGTTTGGAGAACGGCCAAGAAATCTACCGTCTAAAAGGCAGCTATGTCCAATTAAGAATAATAACAGATTTTTTACCAATAAAATTTAGTTTGCTTAAAAACTCATTTCCCTAACATCCACTGATCAAGTAGCTATTAAATTCTATATATTACTGTATACGTAATACTGTAGGTACAAAGGTTCATTCATTTTATTATGTTGGCGATTAGCTGGTACATTCTTGCCAAGCTGCTGGCATACACAGCATTTCAGGCAAGTCTTAAAACTACAAAAGTAACTGAACTACATATTGGAAATTAGCAGTGATTTGGAAGTTAACAGAAGGGCAGTCATTTAAAAGTAATCTGAAGTTTTTTTTATTAATTTATGCACTCCATACCCATTCTGTGAGCAGTAGTCAGAAATGGTTAAGAGGCACATAATGGGATCTCTGACCCTTAAGGTTTAGCAAAACAAGTTATATGGTTTAACATTTTAAGTCAATTTTTATCACTAACATATCTGTATAATATTAGTTTACATATAGGCAGGTACATTGTTAACATTTTGGTTTGACTACTGCATATGACATTATTAATGGAAGATTGTAAAAAGGTGAATTTTCTTTCTTTTAATTATTGCTTCTACAATGCAGAAGTAACGTCTGCAACTCTGTGCAAACTATACTTAAATAATTATATATTGGCAGCCAGAGATTTGTCAGTGATGAAACCTACACCAATCTCTCGGCTGTGAAGAAATGTGTTCTAATCTTTGATTTGAACAATCGGAAGGAATATGGTCACCCTCAAACACTAAATCTGTGGAGGTTGTGAAGGGAGGAGCCGAGGCCAATTTCTCTTCCCAAGTCTTGACCATAGGGGAGAGAGGATGCAGTTTTCTGATCTTAGTATCCAATGCATGCACCAGTAGTTTCAAGCATTTAAGCTTAGCTGGAGCATACCTGGAGTGGGTTCTGTGAGTGTTTTCTCCCAAAGACTTCTGGTGCCAGGCATGATTTTGGATTTGTCAATATGCCATAGGCTTGCTCGGGTAGTTTAAAACCAGAGGCTCCCGGTCTTGAACTGACTTTGGCCTAGTCATTAAAGATACCATGCAGCCAGTGCCCGGGTTAACTCCAGCGTAACCCAAAAATTGGATATACAGCATAGGATGCATGAACTACACCTGTCCAAATGTTGGGCTTGATCTTTCACGGCAAAATAGTTGAGGTACTTGGAAGATGATAGAAGCAAGTTGCTGTCAATAGTTGCGACCAGATTGCCAACACTTGCCTTGTTACACTACTGCCAGCAAGTAAGTGCAAACTCCATAAATCAACACAGGACTACAGGCCATAGCTACTTGGAGAATTCATATTGAGTACCTTGGACAACTTCTATGACTTCAGTGTGCATCCATTCCACTTAACCTGGGCAATTTAGCCTACATTCTTTTAGTTTCTGGGTTTAGGAATGAGCAATAATATGCTTATAAAAGAGGTTTATATATACCCAGTAAAATGAATTTGAGGACTGTCAATAATTATTTCTGGTGTTCATGGGTGCTGTTATAGACATCTACAAAGAGCTAAGTATTGAGATATAAAGCTTTGTAAGTGTACAGAGCTCTCAAGAAAGTATGTAGTATGTTTCAAATGTGTGAAAAAAGCACTTAAAGTATTGGGAGCATCTCAAAACTCACCAAAAGTACTCGCTAGAAAGGAGATGAGAGAGAGATCAAATAAAATACATGTGGAAAATACTTGAGGGCCAGGTCCCAAATCTACACAGTAAAATAACAACATACTGGAGTGAACAATATGGGAAAAAATGCAGAATAGAACTGGTGAAGAGCAGAGATGCCATAGGTACAATCAGAGAAGACTGTATAAACATGAGAGGTTCATGGTTGCTCAACGTACTTTCAGCAAGTACAGTATAAGAAATATTGTCGGAATAACTGTGGAGATCAAGAGAAAACTAGATAGTTTTCAAGATGTGCCGGACTAACTGGGCTGTGGTGGATATATGAGCGGGCCTGCAGGCCGCTGAAAGCAACAGCCTGGTGGACCAAGCTCTCATGGAGGTTTGGGGGGCGTAGAAGAACTCCTAGAACCCCATCAAGCAGGTATGTAAAATCAAATGAGGACACTATATGTTGTCTGCACAGATTTATTTTTTTTTATATAGATTTACAGTGATGAAAAAATACTGAGGACAGGTTGCTGGCCGTTAGAAGCCAGAGCTGACGATAGCTATTCTTGGAAGAATTAACACTTGCCCAGGTTAGGCCTTGATGAAATAGAAATTCTATTTCTGAATTATCCTGATTTAACTTACTGTCTGTAAACATGAATCCAGAGTTTAATGAACACTGGAAATACACAATTTCTCACGATTTGGTTTTCCTCTCGCTACAGCTTCTCAAAATTGGCTATACATAATGTAGCACGAAAGGAAGCAACTTTAAGTTCGGCACTGAATGTCACTTCCTCCTGAAAAGACTTTACTTTTCACAAAAAGTAAATGTGTTAGTGATGGAAGATGTTAATCTTGATAGTAATAGATGAACGAAAGAGTTTAGTAAAGCGACGCGAGATGCTGGGCTGGGTAGTGTACTTGCATTTCAAGTACTGTACATACACTGCTGGTCCGTGATGTGGTTTTTAATGTCAGGTTTGGAGGAGTGTTACACAGGACTGGGCTGAACATCAGGGTGTGTACTCTTGAAAGCTTCCAGAGTGATGAGACTAGCATTCACACGATTGATTGTTGGAAAGGGCTTCATATCAACATTGAACCTGGAATGATAACGTGTTCAGCATTGTTTGAGACGTCAGGTCTGACACCTATATTTTATTTAAATTGCTTTAAAGCTGTAGTACTCAGATTCCTGAACATTTTCAGAGCTTTATGCAAATTTGTTTTAGTATATATCTTGTCCCTTTTTGTGAAAGGTTGATGTACTATATTCTAAGAATTAATCTTCTTGAAAGAAGAAAAGATACATAAATTACAATTTCCAAAGAGTATGGCTTATTGAGGAAATGTTACTACAGTATTATAAAATGCCAACAGACTGAGCTCAATACTGAGTCTAATTAATGTACTGTATTTGGAAGTACATACAGTATACAACAAATAATATTAACAAATAATAAGTTGTCAGAAAAGTAGGTTTCCTTTCTTTGTCAAGTTAATAGAGTGAAGCAGCATTATATCAACCTCTTAAACGTATTGATTCACTATATACAAAAGATATAATTGATTTATTAATTTTGACATATTTTATAACAATCAAATAGAAAGGGCTGCTGTAAATAAATATAGGTAAGGGAAGGACTTGTTTGAATATTTAGAAATTATTAACTACTATTAAACTATTAACTAGAAACTACTATGAAACTATTAAACTATTAACTATTAAACTATTAACTATTAAACTATTAACTATTAAACTATTAACTAAACTAGACTATTAACTCAAAAACGGCTCCTGTCGCCCTCAAGCAATAGGATGCCAATGGCTTGTGGGAGATGAGGTGTATGCCCTGTAATATATAAAGGTTCCACAGATTCTGTGTGGACACAAGAAACCTGGGCCAAGATTCAACAAGCATTTACACATCTGTTTATGAACCTGTACATCTTTTCTCAGGCTTTGGCAGCTTTGTTTACCTCTATTAAACACATTATGAGCATCAAAACTTCCCAATCAAATGTTATTGTTATAAACAACCTTCTAGTGTATCGGAGCCCGTGTAAACAAAGCTGCCAAAGGTTGAGAAGATGTACAGGTTCGGGCTAGTACTTGTGTAACTACTTGACGAGTCTAGCCTCTGGCAATCATTTGTCATATTGAAAAATAATGAAAGCCTTTGTTTGTTCCTGAGCCTTAGTAAAAAGATGGGCACCATGTCAGGTGGTTCACCATCCACCAATTGATGCCCATGCTACGAATCATTGATGTCAATGGTTTATGGCATCAATGGTGACGTTTATGAACCTGGAAGATCTTAATGGTCTTAAGATCTTAAGAGGATCTTAAGGAATCTGTTACATATAGCTTGAGAATTATTCCTCAGAATATGACATCAACATTTCTTCCTCACTATGGCCAAACTAATATTAGGTGAATTTGTTCACTTCTGGCATCATTAGCAATGTATTAACATAAAAATAATTTTTTAATTAATTTGTTTATGCACATCAAGAAACTGACCTATTTATAGGTGAACCTGGTCTAATTATAGGTGAAAGTGCAAGTAGGTTAAAAATTGTGATAAAATATTACATACTTAAAGAAGAATCTCATTTCGAGAAGTTCTGTTATACAACTGTGTAACTTTCATATAGAATTCACCTTGGCTAGTTAGCATCACAACAATTATTCCAAATCCCAAAGAGATAGAATCTAGCATACCTGATGACAGCATTATAAACTTGAGGAACAATGAAACAGTCAGCCAGGGTGAGGTTGTCGCCCACACAGTACTTGCCCGACACCCAGCCAGCACCCGCTCCAAAGCTGAGGACCAAGAGAACATGGTGCTGTTTGTCTCACTTGTCAGGTAGTTATATTTAAACTG